AGAAAAACCCTGCTGAAAAGGGGTCGAGCAGAGAGGACCAATTTAAGAGCCAAGATGATGTGTGAAGACAGGTATGGACACTCTGAAATGAAAATCTCACCTGGCTGAGACCCCGGGGGTAAGTTCCCCCCCCAAAGGACATGCAAGAGAAGGTGGGTTTTGGTCATGCAAAGAGTTTTTGGCAGAGCAGCAAGCCTAATTGCATGGACATGGGCAGCGCATGGTTGTGTGATCCCTACAGCTGTCAGAAGGAAGGGGAATACTGTTTTATTGCAGAAATGCTGATTATTTTAAAATATGATGTGTTGTTGCCCTCTGGCCTCTACCGGGTTGTTCTGACCACGCGCACAGCTGTGCTGTACCTGCTCCCGGCGCTGCAGACCCCTGCCCCGGGAATGATGACGGCTCCCGGGCTGCACTGCTCCATGCCAGCGCACACGACATTCCCCAGGTTGCCCACACCAGGGGCACACTGCACCCCCTCTGCACCAGAGATGACTTCTCGCCCCACGCAGCTCACTGCGCTCCTCGCCCCAAATCCGCCCCCCACCCTGGGGAGGCAATCTACGCTCCGGGTGCTAAAGCCGGCCCCACTGACGCCAAAGGAGGAGATCACCCCTAACCCCGCGCCGGCCCCTCCTGTCTTGACAGCGCATTTGCCTCCAATTCCAGAGAGGGTTCGGCACTCCCCGACAGTGCCACCGCCGCTGACCACAGCTGTGGGAGAAAAACAGGCTCAGTCACTCCCAGAGCAGCTAAAACCCAGCTTATAAGGAAACTTATAAGCTTGAAAGACTTGTAAGGAAATGAAGGGGATGGTTCATTAGCTTACCAACGCTCACAGGGTTGCCGGTACATATCCTGTTAAGAAAAGAAATGTCTCAAAGACGTTTTTAGTGAAATATCCCCCAAATGCAGAAGCAAATAGGTCATTGCCCTCTTAGGAACCCTGCGGTATTTCAGCTTTTCTGTGCACCCAGGTGTGAGGTGCTGGTCCAAATTGCCCACTGAAGCACTGCGGAGTTGGATCCCCAAATCCCAGAGACATCTAAATATCCCATCCTCTTTTCGTACTGTAAGCAGGGGATCTGACTGCAGCCTGCCTGGTGCACTGCGATCCAGCTGCCCTCAGAGGACGAGGAGGAAACAGGGGCAACGCTCCCTTACACACCCACGGGGAGAAAAAGGGATGACACTCCCCTCCACACACATGGGGAGGTGCCTCTACCCAACATTTCTCCCTGTCACTCTCCTCCTGTTGGGTTTTGCCCATTATCGTTACAAGGTGCAGCCAGCCAGGGATCCTCCTACCTGCTCTCTTCTCCTTCCAGCAGCGTCCTGTAAGTGGCAATCTCAATGTCCAGGGCCAGCTTGACATTCAGCAGCTCCTGGTAGTCTCTCAGCAAGCAGGCCATCTTGTCCTTGGCTTGCTGCAGTGCAGTCTGCAGGTCAATCAGCTTCTGCCGGGCATCTTTGAGGGCGCAGTCGCCCCGCTGCTCAGCGTCACAGATGGCTGTCTGCAGAGCTGCGATCTGTGGGCAGTAACAGGCAAGAAGGTGGCCAGTAGTGATGTTCAAGAGGCATCTCCACAGGGTTGCTCTTCTACCCCCTTGTTTCTCAGCTAGGAACCGCCAGAGAGCCTAGATTTAGGCTGGACACATGTGATGGCCAAGCTAGTTGGGATGAAGGGGAGGGGACCTCGGAAGGAAGCATACAGCAAAGTGTTCCTGGCTTCTGCTTATTTGCTAAGTGAGAAATAAATCTGCCTCATTGTGTATTGACAGCAGATGAGAAGCTACAAGATAGGCTTAAGCTGGGGGGGGTGTTGTGTTCTTTGCAGCTCAGCAGGGTGAGGACGAAGGCCTTTACTGGAGAAGTTGCACATCCCACTGCCCATGCAGCATTCACCCCTTCGTCCTACCTGTTTCTTCACATTGTCCGACTCGCACTGCAGCTTCTGGATCATCCGGTTCAGCTCGGCGATCTCACTCTGGTTGTTTCTCAGGTCATCGCAGAACTTGCCCCTGCTGCTGTGGAGCTCCTCCAGCTATTGCGCGGGAAGAGGATGATGTTAATGTGCCCGAATTGCCCCTTCCAGGGAAGGTGGCAACCCTCTGGAGCTCCTGAGGAAGCACCCAGATGTGACCTCAGCCCAGACAAGGCGACAGTCCTGGGTAGGTCCTGAGCATTTGCCCTTTGGGGAGGGGATGGTGTTCCTGATGGGTGTGCACAGAGGAGACCTCTCTGAAGCAACCCTGTGACCTGCTGTGCTCTGTTTCTGCAGCAAAGTTTTAAACCACAGGTCCTAAGGGGGGTTTGGGCATTATTTTCTTTAGCAAACTACAGTGCATGCACACCGGGGGCGAGTTTAAGTTGCATCACAGAGGACAGAACTGGTCCTCAGTGTTTTGTTGGCCAGGGGATTTCATTGCTGGCCATGCTGGTGGTGTGAATACTCACTCTGGTTTGGTAGAAAGCCTCCACTTCAGCCTTGCTCTTCTGGGCAATCTCCTCGTAGCAGCACTCAACACTTTTGATGATGCCCTCCATGTCCAGGTCCCGGCTGTTGTCCATTTGCACGATGACAGAGGTGTCACACAGCTGGCAATCCAGCTGAGCTCTTTCCTGCAAGATCCATCGCATGTCAGGCCCCTTCCCTCAACCAGCCCAAGCCAGGCATGCAGGTACCCCTGGCAAAGGGGCGGTTGGTGAGAAGCTGGAGGGTTGGAGAAAGTTGTCCCATTAACACCCAACTCGAGCATGGTGTTCTCCAGGTGGGTGACTGGTTTCCAGCAAGAGCTGGCAGCTGGGACCTGTTTTGGTGGCACAACATGGGATTTCTGCATGCAGTTCCCTAAGGAAGGGTGGGGAATCCTGGTGGAGCAACTCAATTTGCTGCAACTTGGCGTTTCTGGCTGCATCAGCAGTTTTCTGGGTTGTGAATCCCTCAGGGGGGGAGTGCTTTGGGCCCCATTGCCTACAGACTGCTGGGAGGTGTTTGGCTAGAAAAGGCGCAAGTACAAAGCGTCCCCTGTGTCTTTTGTTTAAAAACTTGCTACATTTTAGACAAAAACCTCCCTTTCACCAAAATATTTTGACTAATGTAGCTTAAAAAGTGAAGTGCTAAAAAATATTTGGGTTTTGAAGAGTGAGATGTTGCTGCGGTTCTCAGGGATGGTTTGGATTAGAACTCGAGGGGCTTTTTTTTCATGCAAAAGCTCCTTCCCTTTGCAGCCGCCAATATAGGAGGCAACCAAGAGCGCCCTTTGCCTTCCCAAAGTGTGTGCAATAGTGTTGTGATCAATGCATAGAAAGAGAGAGAAAATTTTGGGGCGTGGTTTCAGGATTTTCAGAAAAGACACCTTCCCCTGCATCCAGTTCTGGTGTAAGAGCTCAGGGGGGCAGCGGATGGTGCGTCGTACCCAGGGCAGCAGACAGGGAGCCGGGAGCTCTTACCTCAGCATAGATGCACTTCAGGAACTCCAGCTGCTGCCGCAGGAGGCCCACTCTCACCTCCAGCTCCTCCTTGGTCAGGTAGAGACAGTCCACGTCCTGCAGAGACACCACGTGTTTGGTGAGAAGCAGGGAAGAAACAAGGACTGTGGCAAAGCCCACGTTTTCTGTTAGATTCGGAGGAAACCTCACTGTTTTCAGCCCTTAAGACTATCTGGGTTTGCATTGTATGTGCTTACAACCTGATAGGGGATCTCCAGATTTATTGGGTTGCCTCTATTTTGGGGCTACTCGATGAGGACTCAGGCAGCGTCATGGTGCCAGGACTCCCCATTTCTCTTCCTGGCCCCACGCCCAGGTTTTGCCCACGCGCCTGCGGCTCTCAGCTGGTCTCACCAGCATTGTCCCTAGTGTGCCTCACCTTCTTGAGGACCACAAACTCGTTCTCCGCAGCCGTGCGCTTGTTGATCTCATCTTCATATCTGCAGGAGGAAAGGAGAAGGGGTGGCATGCTGAGCCCCAGGCTTCCTGTCGCCACCACCCAAGCGGCCAGTGCAGAACATGGGAAGCATGATTAAAACCAGAGCCTCTCCCTGTTCCCTTTGTACCTCCTTTTTGATTTTTGCTATGTTGCTATTTCTTTCCACCCCAATGGGCTTTGTTCAGCAGTTTCAAATAGTCCACGCCAGCAGTATCGGTGGCTGGAGTGAGATGGCAGTAAATCAGGCCAAACCACTAGAACTGCCAAACCCTGTGCCTCAGCTAAGGCTTGGATTGCTCCTTCTAGCCCTGCTGCTTTGCGTGATGTTTTTCTGAAGCGTCCAGGGAGTGTTTATGGGGAGACTGTGGCCAAAATGCCCAAAGGGAGGTCAGGAGCTTGAGCAGCCTTTGAAACTCCCAGGTGCAATGGGAAGCAAAGCCAGTGCGTAATGACCAAGTAATTGGGACCTAGAAGAACTTTCACAAGATGATTCTGTGAGTCTGACATCCTTTCTGGTGGCTCAGCGAGAAGAAAAAAAAAGAAAGCTCAGCGAGAGGCTTGCCTGTAAGATCTCAGGAGAAAATATTACTCTTCTATCCTGTGCTGTGTACCACCAACCACCAAGTGTCCTGGCTCATGGCTTAGCAGAACACACAGGGAGCTGTTAAGGAATATGCAGCTTAGATTAAAAAAAAAAAAAAAAAATTCCCACTGGGACTTCCCTCTGGGAAGAGGGAATGAACCCCAACAGAGACAATGTGGATAAAGCATGGGGTGGAGACAAATAGGCTGAGGGTTTTGTGGGAATGGATGGCACCAGAGACAGGAGATTTGGGGGAGCCACAGGCCCAGATGATGTGGGAGATTTGATATGGCAAACCACAGTGGTGTGCAGGAGCATTAGGGAGAGGAAAAGTGGTTCCCTGCCCCTCTCCCTAAGGAAACACTGGTTGAAGAGCTCTCCCAGTCCATCACCAGCATCTGAGGTGCAGCAGTGGGACCCCAGTACAGGAAACCAGCCCAGCACTGGCATGCCCTGCCCTGCTCCCCTCCCTGTGCCCCAGTTTTTGGGCCTGTCCAGTGCAATTGTGTTGGCTTCACACTCAGAAACGCCACTCAGGCCAGCAAGCGCTCCGGTGGGCAGCTTCCCCCTGCATACGACTTACTTGCATTTGTACTCTTGAACCAGGTCCCTGAGGCAGCGCTCC